CCCTGCCCAGCCCCAGCCCCAGCCCCAGAATGAACCAACCAGCTCGGAACTTTTATATTAATTTTATTCACATTTCCAGAGGAAAGCATCTGGTGGAGTGCAAGGGCATGGCTAGCGTGGAAAAGCTCAAGTATTTGGTTTAAAACAGGCAAACATTCCCGAGGCTGAGCCGAGCCCTGCTCCCTTCCCCTGCACGTGTTTCCAGTTCAAGTAACAGGAATCTCCAAAATAAGCTGGCTCATCACATGATGGAGGGGATGTCAGAAACTTTAAAGCTCCCTGTGGTAAAAAAAATCCCTAAGCAGGGCATGAAAGAAGCAGGCAGGAAATCTTGTCCAGCTGAACGAGCTTATCCCTGGGCTCAGTGGTGGGTTTTTCCCTCTGGATGAAGAGTTTTGCTGCCACTGTCCAACCTTAATGGGATTCATTACCCAGAGCTGGAATTTGCTGCTACTGGATTACAAGGATGATCATTGGTGATGGCACAGAAAAATTCCAACAGGACCTCAGACCGAGGAGAAGAAGAGGAAAGGACAAAAAAAAAAGGTTTCAAAAAAACAGGGATGCAGGAAATAAAACAGAGCCAGGAATAAGATCCACTTGGAGAACTGAAACTTCCCAATTTCTCTGCCAGCCCAAGGGATTTTGTCACAGCTCTGGGTGGTTTCTGAGGAATATATTTGTATTTCTAAGCAGTTCCTGTGTTCAGCTGGGCCAACAACTCGTTCCTGCTGACATCCAGCAGACCCCAAATCCTCCCAACCCCAGCTGGAATGAACCAGCCTCAGCTTTGTTCCCCTCAGAGCCACAACTTTGGGTTTTGGTTTGGTGTTTTTTTTTTTTTTTTTGCTTCAAAGTGCACGTTTCGAATTAGACAACAAGGCATCAGACAAACCAAAGGCATCTGCAGAGCCCTGGCCTGGAGCAGGGCTGGGAACAGGCCTGGAGCAGAGCTTGGCAGCAGGAACAACTCACCGGGACACACGGGAAAGGAATGGCATCAGCAACCCAGGAATTCCTAAGTTATGGGGCTAAAAAGTGGTTTAGTTGGTTTAGTTGTTTGGGTTTTTTTCTGTCTTGTAAATATTAGTGAGTTTTTAAATCTTTTTGCCCGGTGAAGTCGCTGGATTTTATTGGAATACAGCTATATTTGGGAAAGGAGCGGGGAATAGATGTGTGCACATTCTTGCTTGCTCTGCAAAGACAATTATCAGATTACAAAAAAAAGGCACAAGAAGCACATTCCTCCTTCTTCCAGCCCTAAAAGGTTCCTCCTTCCCCCCCTGCTGAAAGCACTGTGCTGGCTGTCACTGAACAACCTCCAAGAACACATTTTCCTCTTTGATCCAGCTGGCTTGGAAGCCCCAAGGATTAAAGATTTCTCTTCTGTTTGAATAATTTCACTGACTAGAATCTCATTGCTTGTTTAACCGATTCTCTTCATCCTCCATCTATATATAGTCAAAAGAAATGAAATTAATATTATATTTTGGCTCAGTGCTAGAGGCAATCTGCTGTCCCCCAACTCAGGTTCCCGAAGGGAGGAGGTGAAACAGAAAATCTGGCAGGACCTGCTTGTTAGGAACAAGAGAGAGGCAAAATTGCACTCACCCCACCTGGCTGGGTGTCACAGAGGGGGAAACTGGAGCAAGGAAAGGCTCAGGGTTATTTAGCAAGCCAGTGGAGAGCCAGGAATAAAACAGTCCAGCTCTGGATCCTCTGCTCCACTTGTCAAGAAGCGATTTTGCTCTGCCCAGGAGGCGAGTTCTGTCTGAGCCCAGGACATGCCACTTGCAATTCAAGTCTTCACGTTGATGCTGGATGTGCAGAGCAGGATAAAGGAATGGGACTCTTTGGTGAATAGCCTGGTTATCAAGACTAAAAAAAATTTATTTTAATAAATTAATAGATTCATCTCTTGCCTAGTTGTTACCACTGCAGTGAATTTCTCTCCTGCAGCTGCCTGGCTGATATTTAAGGTTTCAGTTATTAAACATCCCACCTACCCTGTGTCTTCCCTGTGGAGGCTTAAACTCCTTAACAATCTTATAAAAAATAAAGTGTGGAAACAAACTTCTCTAAACGATTATCCCAGGACTGAATGGCTTCAGTGGGGTGGGTTCTGCTCTGTTTACAATTCTAAGGAACTTCCTACTTCAGGCAAGTCAGCAGGACCTTCCCAGCAGCTGAAGGTTGGACAAAGGACGTGGGGGATGAGGGAAGGTCCAAGTGCATTCCTTGTGTCACCACGTGGCCATGGGCAGTGGGTTCACCCTGTTCCCAGTGGCTCTGGGGAAGCAACCCTGCTGGCAGAGATGCCAAGGGAGTTTGAGGCGCCTATGGATGGATGGATCATGCCATCATGCAGTGCCCTGAGAGATTCCCACAGCCCTGGCAGAGGTGAGCACGCCTCTGGCACTTGGAAGGGCTCCCACATGCAGGATTCAGGCTGGCAGCTCTGGAGGAAGGGCTGTGAGGGATGTGTGGGCTAAGGTGGTCCTGGATAAACTCCAGAACAGCCAAATATCTCAGGGAGAGCCTCCAGAGGGGGAAGCAGGAGCTGCTGTGCTGCCAGGCAGGAGCAGGAACACCGAGGTGCTCACCAAGGTTCCCGTGGGGACAGGGCAGCTCGGGAAGGAATGGTGTGGAAACCCCATCCAGGATGTCCCAGTCCCATGGGAATGCTCTTAAAACTGGCTCTGAGCAGAGCAAGAAAGTCTTGTGCTCCCCCCCCACCAGGAGAGCACAGGCTGCCTGCACAGGGACACAGGCTGTGCTCCCTTTCCTGATGCACCTCAGCTCTTTTGGGAAGTGATTCCCACCCCATTTCACTGTCTGTTTAAGCCCTGATTCCTCTCCAATCCAACTTCCCTGGATGTGTGCTCTGCCTGCCTTCCCTCCCTCCAGGACAGGCAGAGGAGATGCTGCCCTGCCCCACAGGACCCTCCAAAGTCCCACTCGAGGGGAGAAGGGGCAAAGCACAACTCATCAGTCTGGATTGGCCAAAAGAAAAGCCATTTGTTTCTAGGAAATCTGTTTACACACACACACACTGTGGCCACTGCTGGGTTTCCAACCCCTATTCCCAGCTTTTGGCTGACAGTGCAGAGGACAAGAACAAGCCCAACCAGTCCCCAAGTGCTCCTGATTGTGCCATTTTGCCAGAAAATGTTCCTGGCCCAGAGAGCAGCTGCATAAAAGCACTGAGGGGGAACTACAGCTAAAACATTTACCTTTGCCTCCTGTGGGGGATTCCTTTATGGGATCGTTTCCTCCCCAAAGCCCACTCCCACAGGTCCTGGTGAGCTAAATGAGGGCTCTGCTTGCTGGCAGAAGCAATGACTGATGGAAACCCTCTGCCCACACTCCCTTCCTGCTCTGGTTTAAGCCAAGGGGATCAGAACCACCAGGATCAGTAGGAGACACTGGAATTTAACAGTCCTGAAAAGGTCAGCTCCTGAGTCACAGCAGTGAAGGACATGGGGGAGTTGCTTTAAGTGCATCTTTTTCCTCCTTCCTCACTCTCTCTCTTACACACACAGGACACGTTGAACTCGCTGGGGATCACTCAGTCTCTCTTTCAGGCACTATCATGGACACAGAGTCAGTTTTACTCCAAGCTTTCCTCCTGCTCCTGCAGCTCCACCAATGCTACCCTGGATTCCCCTTAGAACCGGAGGTTTCTTCTCCATCTCCAAAAGAGATTGATATATCAAAACCAAATTCAATTACAAAATATAATAATAATAATAATAATAATCCTCTTCTTGGAAGTGAAGCTGCCCCATATTCCAGACTGTGGCAGGATTTTTTTTTATAACCTCAAAATATTTGGACCAAGTTGTACTTAAAATACATCCGAGTCCCCGGGCATGTTGGAATGCTCACAGCTGAAGGCCCATTCCCCGTGAATTCCCTCTGGGATGCGCCCAAAGGGGCTCCTCTCAGTTGTCTTCTGCAGATTTGAACATGAGGATGGCGTTGTAGATCTTCAGGGCAGGGCCCAGCTTGATGCTGAGGATTTTAACGATGTCGTTCTGCTTGAGGAGCAGGAAGGCCTCGCCGTCGATCTGCTGGAGGTTGGGACACAACAAAAATAGGGATTAACCAGCAAGGGACAGGCAGGGTTCCCACTTCTGGTCATTCCCTAAAACATCCCACACCCTGGGATCTTCTCAGACACGCTGCCCTTCCCAAGGACCACAGACCTCATCTCGTTTTCCTGCAAACGGAGAAGCCTCAGTTTGTGCTTATGGAGAGACCATGAGGTGCTTCTTCAATAGGATTTAGAGTCACTAGAATTGCTTTAAAAAGCCATAAATCCTACAGCCTATTCACAATCTGTGGCCAGAAATTAGATCAGAAAATCCAGAATGCCAATCTATCCAAGAATTAATATATTCCCCTGATCCAGCACTGTCCCTGCACAGACTCCTCCACCCCTGTTAAAGCTGTTCAGGGTAAAAATTAAAGGCAAACACCCTTTTTTTTTTTGGTCAGTTCTGCTAAAAACCTTCCAGATGAGAACAATCCCTGAGATGTGAACATCTGGCTACTCCCACAACTGGGATGTTTTATGCCCCCAGACAACAAGTCTCTGTTTAAAGGAGAAACAGGAGGCTCTTGTGAAATCCTTTTCAGTGGCACTAACTGGGCTTGCTCAGCACAGGGCAAAAGAAACCGTGTGCTGGATAGACCAAGGCATGGCAAAGTCTGGAAAAATCCACCAGCAAGGAGATATTCAATTAGATGCAAATTAAGCAAGTGATTAACACCCTACCATGTGAAAATCCAGGATGCTCTAGGTAGCAGCGAGTGAAATCATGACATACTATTTTAAGAAGAGGTTAAAAATTTACTTGAGCAAGAACATCCACAGAGACAACACAGATATAATTAATATAAGCCCCAAATGCTGCAGGGAAGAAGCCAAAGATTAATGGACACAGACAAACAATACGTGTCTCCCTAAGTTATTCCATTAAAGTCCATTTACAGGGACTGACAGTGTCTCCTCCTCTCACTTGATGCTCAGCAGTGCAGCAGACAAGGAGGGACACTCAGCCCAGCCAGAATAACAGTTCTGCTATTTTTGTTGCCTTCCCAACTGGAATTTTTTTTTTGGATGTCAATGCCTGGTGCAAGAGGACACACTGAGTAAACTCCTGTAAATATGATTAAATCAAAGAGTGGGAGAGAGGAGATTTGGGTTCCCCACCTCCCATCACACAGGAGACCCTCAGCAAGTTATTTAACCTCCCAGTGAAGTGACTGGGAGGAACTGGGAAGTTGACTCCTCCACTGGGAATGCCAGCAGGGCTCCCAGCCCACAGGTGGCCACACAAAGTCCCTCAATCTGATTTTCAGGCTGCCCAGAGTCCACACTGCTGCAATGAACGTGTTAAAAATAGCTTGAAACAAATGGGGCCTGCTGTTTAAATTAAATAATACAGTCAAGAGGAGCAGAAAACTGCTGGAAAACAGTCCTACATTTCAAAATGCTTTGGAGTCCAATATTATTCCTATGCTTCATTTTCACTGCATTGCCTCACACATGCTTATTTTAAACAGACCTGCCCTGAACTGGACCTAGAAACGAGTCTGGGCTTTATTATTCATTTCTTTGTTCCATCCTATTTGGATGGTTTTTAAAATTCTGTGCACAATTTGTTCTCTTCATTCCTAATGTAAGCAGCAACTTATCCCTGTCCAGCCCCCCCCGCCAAGAGAAGTCTACCAGGGATTTATTTCTCCTGGATGTGGAGCACTCAGAGGCTGATCCCAGCTAATGGACAGTGTGGGGGAGCTCAGCTCTCCTGTCACTCACACCTGTGACTCTGGCCAAAGCCAAGCTGCTAAAAAGGGTTTTTTAATTCCAAACTGACAATTTGGTTTGAGCGTGAACTTGTGAAACAATGCAAGCTCCTCGAATCTGGCACAGGGAATCACACTTGGAGGCTGCAGGAAATAAGGGATTAAAATAGACCACGGCTGTGACACTGTCAGGACTAGAAAGGAGTGGCTGTTGTTTAAATTATGGCCAGGAGAAATAAAATAAAATAAAATACATGGAGAACGGTTGGATTCATTACAAGATTTGCTTGGTACAGTTTATCTAGCACTCTTGCCTCTAAATGCCTCTTCCTTAAAAATCAGGATGCGCCTTTTACACTCAGCTACACTGAAAGATTGGTTCCTTTGAATAAATGTCACTATTCCCACCGTATTCAGTTCAAGATTTGTCACATTATGGACAGTGCTTTCTGCAAGCCTCCATTTCTTTTGCTCTCTGTTTTGTGTGTCTGCATGCTTTTTAAAAGTCGTGGGGGAAGGAAAGCACAGATACATAAATCCACAAAACGCACTGCAGCCTGACTGACCCTGAACAGGAGCCAGCTCTGGAGCAGTGAACTATCACAAACCTGCCCTTTGCAGTCACTGCAGCAGAGCAGGGGAGGAACAGCCCTTCCCTGAGCTCTCACAGCCAGAGCAGGAGCTGTCACAGAGCCGTGGAATGGCTTGGGTTGGAAGGGACCTTAAACCTGTTTCTCCAGCCCTTGTCCCAAGTCCCTCTGCAGCTCTCCTGGAGCCCCTTTAGGCACTGCAAGGGGCTCCACGGTTTCCCTGGAGCTTCTCTTCCCCAGCTGAACATCCCCAGCTCTCCCAGCCTGGCTCCAGAGCAGAGGGGCTCCAATCCTTAGAGCATCTCCATGGCCTCCTCTGGACTCGCTCCAGCAGCTCCACATCCTTCAGATGTTGGTTCCCCGGAGCAGGAGGCAGCTCTGCAGGTGGGGTCCCACCCGAGGCGGGAAGAGCAGAGGGGCTGAATTTCCCCCTCATGTCCTGCCCAGGCTGTGGGACGAGCCCAGGACAAGGTTCATCCATGCAAATTAATCAAGAACCAAGTGCCAAAAACCAGGACAGCCTTATCCCGTGCCTGTGGAGGACACCCAGAAGCCACGCTGGCAGGACACCCTCTGACTTCCCAATCTCTCCCTGTTCAAGGAAAGGTTCTCCTCCTGCTCCCACCCCACGGGGGAAGCCAGCAATTCCTGGGAAAACCCTGTGCCTGCCAGGCTCCCCAGGAGCACATGTCCTCGTTGGAGGCAGCAGATGAGATCCTCCCCACCCCGCTCCAACAGGACATCTTTATAGTGGTGCCAAAGCCACGGCACGACGGGTCCAAGACAGGATGTTCAGCACAAGCTCCCCGGTTGGAACTGCAGGGGGAATTTAAAGCAGCAGGATGCAATTAGCCCTGCTGGAGTTCAGCCTCCCGAATGCCACAGTCTGTGCTCAAAGCCCAGGGCCAGGGCACGCTGCACTTACCTCTTCCCTGAACACAGAGGCTTGTTCCTTGCAGCCAGGTAAACGCTGGATGAAGCTCACCACCTGGAATTCCGGGAAAGGAACACGGACAATTCAGAATGGGAGTTTTTTTAAGCTAAAATTTTTACGACTTTAACACTTAAAACTCTCCCATTAATGAAGGGTTATATTTCTGGGTTGCTGCTGCAACTCCTCTGCGTGTTCTGGTTACCAGCATTAACTGTTCCCTGTTGCCATTTGACCATTTCTCTCCCTGCTTCTCCATTCCTCTAAAAGATCCTCACAAAATCAACGTTATTTTTCCCAGATTAAAAGCTGTGTATGGCTACACTACTTTAAACCTACCCTCAACTTCACTTTCTCTACAGTATTGCTGGAAAGTAAATTTAGGATGAAAAAAGGATTTAGGCAAGTTTCCCAGGATGACATTGCCTGTGAGAGACAAGATAAACCAACTGAATGAGCACTGCTGGTTTACCAACATCCAAAGGCAGGAGAGCTGGGAAGGAAAGGAGTTTATTATTTTGGTTTTATTTAATCCGTGGTGGGTGCACAGGATCCATGGTACCAAGAGGATTAGACAGGTAAAAGTTAATTTTACATTTCACACTAGGGAAAACTTTTCTATGCAGGGAATCTTGTTAACATTTGGAATAATCTCCCTGGAGACCTGGGTTACATTATATAACACTAAGGAGTGCAAGGAGCAGCCCAGGATGAATTAATGTGTATTGTCTTCTCCAGCTGTAGCTCCACTGGCTCACACAAGATTTGTATATTGAGGCATAATCAGATCAAACATCTCCTGCTAATTGGATGCTCCCTTGCAGGAACAGCTCCTGTTTCATGAGGCACATCCATGTGAGCTGTTACAGATGTGACATCTCCTCCTGTACACAAACAAGCAGCTGGGAGGGGTCCCTGTCAGACACGAGCACCCCTTCAACTCAGGATTGTCAAAGCCTCTCCTAAATCGTGTCACTGCCTCTCCAGCTGATCCCACCACGAGACTGAGAGTCATTCCCTCCCTCTGCCCGTGGGGCTCTCAGTGCCCTCCAGGTTTGCTCTCCCCTGGCAGGAGCAGCTCCGATTCCTGTGTGGCTTCTCTTATGTAACCTGAGAGCAGAGCATCCCTCTCAGTGCTCCACTTAAAGGGAACCCCTAAAATCCACCTCTCCATCCAAATTTTCCCCTGAAGAAGTGCAAACTCCCCATTGTGACCAAATGACAAAAACACCACTTTCCTTTCAAATTGTCCTCACCCCTTATAATTAAACTCCAAATTTAAAATCCTTCTGCAGGGTCTGGTGCCCTTCCAGAATTTAAGAGACAGTTGGGCCCCTCAGGGCAGGAGGCTCTTCAGTGTCTGGCACTGGGAGGCTGGCAGACAGCTCCTGGCAATGACCTGAGCTTGCCTTGCTCCTGTCCTTCCCTGCACAACTGCTGCTGGCTGCTGTCACCGACACCGAGTGACAGACCTTTGATCTGTCCCAGGAGTCGTTTGTGGGAGCTCTCTGTGCCACAGGAGAGGCTTTTTAAGCAAACAGGAGCCCTGGGGTTTACCCAGGGACAGGGAAAAGAGAGGCACAGAGGATGCAAGAGGAGCAAACAGGATGAAGGGTCTCAGAAGGGGAGACAGACCCCGGGTTCCATCGAGCCACAGGGACCTGCCTGGGCCATCAGTGCTGGGCAGGAGAGTCCCCAGACCAAGATGTGGCAGCTGAGGGACAAGGGAGGCTCAGGAGCATGAGGTAAAAACACAGTGACACCACAGGAAACCAACCCAACCCCCCAACAGTGGCAGGGAAGCCCTGAACGCAGGGAAAGGGTGAGGCTGGAGGGGCTCACAGTGAGGAACTGGGACAGGTTGGGAACACAGTGGGATCAAGGCTTTTCCTTTGAGGAGGTGAATGCCTGCCAGCCCTTCCTGCTCCATTTTAAAGGGAATCCCTAAAATCCACATCTCCATCAGGCAGTGGCTCCAAATTTTCTCCTGCAGAAGTACAAACTCCTATTACAAACCAGCAACAAAATACTGCTTTCCTTTTGTAAGGAATGGAGAAATGGGAGAAACAGATCCTTGTAACCACCCCAGTGCTCCCAGAGCTGTCTGCTGGAAGCTCTTACACTCCCAGTGCACATTAGGAAAGGAAAAGGGGTAGAAAAAGAGCTGAAAACACCTCAGAAACTCCATGTGACCCATTTGGAAGGTGCTGATGTGATCCCAGATGTGACACACTGAGATCAGCACTGGATTTATACCCCTGGGTGGCAAATGCCTGTCTCCCACTGCACCCCTGGGCCAGCTCCTGCAGGACTGACACCTCTCCTGAGGCCACCAGTGACAAGCTGGGCTTAACTGGGATTTAAAAACCCAAAAGCACTTGGCACAAGGACAGTCCCCCCCCCTCCAAGGTATTAACAATGATGCAGGATTAACTAATGAACAATACAACTGCAGCACATCTTAATGTTCTTCCGTGAGTCAATACGCTGTGCTCTAAAAACATGACAGGAAGCTTTCAATAAATACCAAAGCTGCATTAAAGTAACTCCTCTTGTTGCCTGCTCAGTGTTAGCAGGAGTTTCTTTGCTGGAGGGCCCCTAAATGCTGCTGCTGCTCTGCCATTTCAGCTGTTCTCAACCAGCAGAGAATTAAAGCAACATTTTTTTTTCCCCTTTATGTGGGTTTTATAAAATAAAAACAGTTCTTTAGCCCGAAACCAGAGGAGAATTTTACACCCTCTTGTTTCAGATCAGCAAAACGGGCTCCTTTGTGCAGCAGAGTTCAAAGCACAACCCAAAGGCAAATGTTTGCCCTGCAGGAAGATGTTGGGAGCCCAAATGCCGACAGACCAAATGTACTCTGGACTCCCTAAAACACAGCAAGCCCTGCTGCTTTCATCTCCCAGACCTGAGGCTTCACTGCACTGCACATGCTGATCCTGCAAGTGCTCAGACAGAGCCCAGATTTGATTCCTCTGGGAATCTGTGATGAACATAATTTGCAAAACCAGACCCCCTTTATTGAAATGCAACACAAAAACCCGTAATGACTTCAGCCAGTCGGTTGTGGGGCTGCAACTGAGCTTTTTAACGTGCCAATCACACTGCTACTGGCAGCCAAAACTTCCTCAGTTGTTTCAGGCTGCAGCACAGAGTTCAGGGTATTCTGGGGTAGAATCACTATATCCAGTGCCCTCCATCCATGTCCTGTGGTCCCTGCTTACACTCATCTCTTATCAAACTAATATCCCAGATAAATTTGCCCAGCAGTTGCTTTAAAGGTCAACTGCAAAGGACAAATTTTATTTGGCTTGGATTCTGCCACTGTACTTCCACATGAACCAGCCTCCCTGTTTTATCCAAAAGAAAGAGATTTTGATTATCATGTCAGAGGATTAACTGCTTCTGACTTTATTGATTTGCTAAGAGACCTTTTGGACAAATCATTGGAAGCTTTTTCAAAAGGACAGGAAGAGCAAATCTTCATTACAAAGAAAGAAACAAGCAAAAAACCAAAAACAAAACCAAAAAAACAGAACAAAAAACCACCACAAAAACTAAGTTTTAAAACAGTAACCCTAATTGTTCTGTCCCCTTCCCAGCTGCTGTGGTTCCCATCTCCCACATCACTGCAATCCCCCCAGACTCCCAGCAGTGCTCCAGCACGAACAGCAAAGTCAAATTGGATTTATCTGATGCTAAGAGGCACTTGGGGAAAATGCACTTTCTGCAAGTCTCTGAAGATCCTCTCTGCATCACCACGAGCAGCACCTTTCTCCTGCTCTGCAGATTCCCTGCATCCTTGCAAGCACAACACTACAGCACATTCCTCTTGGATTAAATGCCCTGCAATTAAGTGCCAGCATCCAAATTGTCACCACTTCCCCAGCACAGAGACAAATATTATTTATGCCCAAGGCATCGAGGCAAAAACCAACTACTCAGCACACAAAACACTCCGGGTTTTCACACACCACCTAATTACAGGAGACATCTCCAGAGCTGCAGAGACACATCCCCAGCTGCACAGATACCTCTGCCAGAAATCAGGTCAGGCTGTGGGCAGTTTTGTCCCAGGGGAATCAGGCAGGAAGATGCAGGAGGAGTGGGCATGCACAGTTTGGAATTCTCTGCAAGAAAGTGAATCAGCAGCAAAGCCACGGGAGAGGGGGAGGGAGATCAGAGAGGAAGGGAATCTGCTGTCAGATGGATGCATCAGGCCTGAGGACTGAGAGATCAAGGGCTAAATAAACAAACAAAGGGAGGGAGGGGAGGGAGAGAATCCTATGCAAGCTGTGGATACCAGAGGGTTAACAGGGATCCTTCCCTGATAAAGGGACTTGGGGGGAACTTCCAGCTGAGTCAGCTGTGGCACACGCACAGCAAGCAGAGGAGGAAAGGGAAGAAAATAAAGATGTCTCCCAATTAGCACTCCAGAGGAGGAGGGTGCTGGCTTTCCTGCAGCCCAGGAGAGCAGAAGAACAGGGAACTCACCTCTTCCACAGTCCATTTGGCAACTTGTTTGGCCGTGAGGCCCGAGACCTCTGGCAAGAGCCTGCAGTGCTGCTCCCAGAAGAGATGGAGCCGGTGGGTCGGGTTAGAGGCCAGGGAAGGCATGAAGATGGACTGGTGGAGGGCCTGCTGGAGATCCAAATCAGGGCCTGGAAAAGGAAAGGAAGACAAGTCAGAGCCAGGCTCCAAGTAGGAGCAATTACAGAGCAGGAGGGAGGGTCACAGTCTGGAGAAGGGAGCAAGGCAGGGTGGTCAGGGGGGGCCAGACAAGGCACACTGAGCTTCCAGGCTGTCCTTCCCACCCTCCTGAGCAGGAGAGAGGGGAAAAAAAAGAGATAAGATTGCCAGGCTGGAGGCTTTATCGTCAGCTTCTTCCCTGGAAAATGATGTCATGCTGCTAGCAGAGAAGATGTTTGCAGCCTTTTATTGACAAGGTGGAGGAGTTCTGGTAACAGCATCTTCGGCTGGGAACTGATGGCACAGTTCCAGCTCCCAGCTGGAGCCAGCCTGGGAAGGGCTCTGTGCCTGCCAGCCCGTGGCCTGGGCTCGCTCCTGGGGAGACTCCCAGGCCAGGAGTGCTGCCTGTTACCTCCAGACATCAACTCCCTCCTCATGTGTCAAGTGACGGAAGCTTTAAAAACCAAGACAGAAAAAAAAAAAAAAAGAGAGAGAGAGAGGAAGAAATCACCCCTCCCTAATGAGATCACTGGAGCAGTGCAGAGTCATGGTCCTGCAGGGATGTGCTGCTTATACAACAGGAAGCCAGGCAGAGGATGGAAACAAGCTGGGAAACATTCCTGGGGTTGAGGGCGGTCAGGGTGGGCTGCCCCCAGCCCCTGCCTGCCCGGCGCCATCCCGCGGCAGCCACACGGCATTCCCGATTTATCCCTCCCTTTGGGAGGGATCCCTGCCTTCCCTGAGCCTGGAGCAGCTGCCTCAGCTCAGTGGGCTGGGGTGTCAGACCTGTGGGGAGTGCCAGTCACTACCTGGAAAGCACAAAGGAAAATAGCAGAGTATTAACCCCCCAGATTTCCATGGTTTTCCAGCACTGGAGGTAAAGCTTGTTCTGGGGAATGGTCACTGCCCTTGTCCTGAGGGTCACCTCATCTCCATGTCCCTAAAGGAAGCGGGACAGCACTGAATGTTATCAAATTTCTAATAATGAGACCAAGGGAGGGTTTAAAACAAAGAAAGTCTGAGTAAGAGCTGCTCAGTTCAGGAGCTCCTGGGGAGAACAAGGCACAGACATGTCCCCCACTCCTCCCATGTCCCACTGTCCTTGTCCCCACCTCTCCCTGCTCCACGAGGTCCCACTCGTGCCCAAAGTTTCCCCCACTGCTTCCATCTCATGCCAACTCCTTTCCTCCCCTAAGCCCAAATCCTCGTGCTAAGCACCAAAAGCACCCAAACAAATGACTTTCCCTCTGAGAAAGCAGCAGAGATCTAACAGTTTAAACAGAGCTGGGCTGGAAGCTCCGGGTAGCTGTGACATTACAGGGCAGTGGATTATTGCTGCATTTCCCTCCCCTGATCTCCATCATCCTGTGTCAGGTGAAGGTGAAATGGATGGTTGGGCAGCTTTCCCTGCCAGCTGTGACTGCAGCTCGGAGCTGGCAGATCCCTCAGCTCTGACTGCAGAACTCAGCACCAGGTAAAAAATATGAGTATTAAAAAATAAATAAATAAATTTAAAAAAAAAAAAAAAAAAAAGCCTAGGCACCTGTCCCAGTTTGTGCCTGCTTAGCTATTTTGGATTGGAGACTTATTACCATGTTAAATCCTCCTAAAAGCCTGGTCAGCTCCGTTCTCTGAAATAGCTTTTTATAGTAAATCTGAAAGTTAAGCATATGGTTTGCTAAAGTGATAGCAGAAAGCTGCTCTGGAAACTTAACCTGTCACGTACCAGGAAAAGTAAAAAAAAAAAAAACCCATTGTTTTTTCCATTTAACATCTTTTTTTTTTCCCCAGTCTTTAAGAAAACCTTAAAAAAAAGTCCCCAAATGATTCAGAATACATTTCTGGACAGCCAGGAGGGTCTAAAAAAAGAAGCTGATGGAACTTAAACTATCTGCCAGGTTTTTAAGCAAGTCTCCCTTGACACTGTGCTGGCTCTGTCAAGGCCTGACATAGGCCATAGACTGTTTGGGAATGAAAACCCTTTCCTTTGCCACTAGAGAAGAGTCTGCAGTGGCACAAGAGCTGCTGCAAATTGTCTTCTCAGTTAATAAATACAAACCTTCACTCTATAAAGTATTAAAACTTTCACTTCTAAGTGATTTTACTCTTTCTCATCATTTTAAAGGAATTAAAAGCACCACTGCCATCACCTCCAGCTTCACCTTGATTGTGGAATCAAAAACCAAAAAAGCTGTGAATTTTTGAATGCTCCTCGTGACTGCAGGGATATGAACACACCAAGAAAAAGGAATAAAAATTTAACCAACCTTTCCCATTGCTTTCCTGTTTCACCAGCTGGAACTTGATATAGGCATGTGAGCACCCAAGCCTGAAAGCAGCAATTACAGAACATTTCAGGTATTACAGAAATGGATGTAATTTCTTCTCTATATAGAGATTAATGGGACTTAAAGAAACTTAAGAGAAACTAAAAAACTTTTCCCTCTTAAAATAAGCAGTAGCACTGCTCCAATCCCAGAGCCATTAAATTCACGGCTGGAACTCAGACTTGAGTTCGCTGCAGGGAAAGAGAGGGCCAAAAATATTGGGAGGAAGGGAAGAGATTCACCATGTCATCCTAAAGCCCTCTGCTGCCAATCCCTGATCAAACTGTAAGTTGTGATTTACACCTTTACTTCAGATCCAGCAGCAGCATCAAGAAACACGATGGTTAATGCACAAAAATACATCAGGCGGGTCTTATTTACGTTTTTGGGGTGGCTTTGATGTCTGCAGAGGAATCCTCCTCTCCCCAGTCTCTCTCCTGACTGTTTTCAGACTGCTCTGATGGAGTGTGAACGCTGCTCTGACACCACTTCTCACCGTCTGGTGCAGCTTTTCTGGGAAGAAACACAAATGACAGGAGCTGAGCTGGCACCCTCTCCGCTCCCTTCTCCCACCGGAGAGCAGAGCTGGCTGCTCCTTCCAAGTGAGAGCAGCAACTACCATCTAGTGGTGGAACTTTCCCTCCCCACGAGTCACAAAGTGCCTTGTTACTCCTCTGCATGGACTGGGAGAGATGCTGGGAAATAAATCAGGCTCTGTGGACTCGGGCTCTGATCCCGCAGGAACCCACCGTGTAATGGGGAAAGCCAGGGATTTAAGATTTCTGAATCCTGATACCTCTGGATAATGTTTAAGAACCTCCATGACTAAGTTTGATGCATCAACTGAGCTACAGAGTTGGCCAAGGAAGGACAAGCAGCAGAGTGTTACCAGATTTACAGGCTGAATTCAGACCTCCCACTAGGAGGAAATGAAATAAATACTTAGAAGAACAGAAATATATCACAATTCTAGAATGATGTTCATTCTGTGAGAATCCCAAATCTCCTGAGGGGGCTTTATGGTAACAGTGCCATTGAAATGCAATCAATTCTGGTGTGAAAATTAGGAAATTAAGTTCTAGTTGGGAGGAGGCAGATGATTCTTTGAGGGGGGGCTCACTCCTTTTTTTCTGGCCAAACAGATCTTGGAAATGTTATAAATCTGAACAAATAGATGAACTTTAAAATACATATAAGCCTTCATACACAACAAACAAGAATAAAAGTATTGCTGGAGTTTGCCCCAGTGAGACTGGATTTGTGAAAACTAAAGATGATCTTAATAAAATCCTTTGTGCCCTGGCCTGTCCCACAACACATTTAACTCCCTCCTGTGCTCCAAGAACTAACCCACAGTTTGCTTCAATGGTGCTCAATTCCAAGAGTTTCCTGTAAGAAAACAAAGTATCTGAAGGAGCTCAACTTGTTTGCCAAGTGATACACACAGAGTCTGGATTGCACTTACAGTTTAATGGTGCAAAATAACCTTGGCCTGACAGTTTTAGGACAGGGGAACGAAGGAAAAGAACATATTTTAAATTGGAACAGCAAGGAAAAATTTATGGAGACAGAATGCAATTTCCTTTGCTGGAATGTGACCAGAGCAGCAGGATTAAGGAATCAAGAAACCTATTAAGGCATATGAGGGTATAAAAGTGCCTTGCTCTGCGTTAAGAGTGTCTGGGGCCACGGGTCAATATTACAGACAGATGAACTCAATGCTCTGCTGCTTCTCTGCCAATTCCGGTGGTTTTTATCCTTGTAAATGGTTTTTTTTCCCCAGTACCTGCCAAGAATAACGTTCAGCTCACCTGGACTGGGGAGAGTCTCCCTGAGAAGACTCCCCTGCTCCCAGCAGGAATGGGGCAGGAGTCTCCAGCCTCTTGGCTTTCTGCATGGTATTCCCAGGGGGAGGTCTCTCCCCGCTCAGCCGGTCCTGTAAGGAGCTCTCTCTGCTGAGGTTCACGTCAGAGTAGGGGCAGCCAACTAACCTGAGACAGAGAAACAAAAACCAGGGAGAGATGACAATGCTTTCCAGTCACACAGCCTTACCAGCAGCCTCAGGCACAGAAATCCATCACAAACCCAGAAAAAAAACACTCAGGGAGATGTTATCACCCACTCTGAGGTGTTGTTAAAGAAGAGCCCGTCCTCTGTCACCTGCTTATTCGAACATCTCATGGAACAAGTGAGTTTGGCAACTTTCACTCTGAAAAATCCAAAGCCCACACTATAAGCTACCAGATCTTCAGACCTCTTACCTGAGATTGTTTTCTTGCTCTTTAAAATAGTTCACTTGAGAAAAACCTTTCCCTTCCAAGAGAAATCAAAAGGCAGAGCACAAAACCTGAGCCAGCTCTCCTCACTCGTAGTTTAATAACCTACTCACACTCTCTCCCTCTTTAATATCTCCTTGCCTGCTGTTCTTGGGTATATTATTTTACAAAAACCCCTCCTTTAGCACTGCTGGAATGCAGAAATTGGAGTGAATTAATATGTTTGCAATGCAGTTCTAATGATTATACTGGTATAAACAGAATTTATGATGAAACAGCACATTTAGACACAAGAGGGAGCTGCAATTGCAGATATAACCACCTCCAGGATAAACACTGAGATCATTTCAGTGCAGTGCAGGTGCTTGTTGCTGCATTATCATTATTAACAGCCCTCAGACTCTCAGAGGATCTCATTTACATACGTGTAATGTGTCCCATATCGTGGTCCCCGGACGTGCCCAATCCCGTGGCAGCCTGGAGTGGGACACACTTGTCCCACTGCTCCCTCTGGATCCTCAGCACCTGAAAATAGAAAATAAATAATAACAATAAAAAAGCAGTTAAACAGATTTGCATGTGAAGAGCAAAAAGGCACTTAGGGAAACCATCCAGCATCACACTGGGGTGTCTCTGTTTACCTAGAGGGACCTGTAGAGCATGTCCAGTCTTGGCACACCAGCCCACGGGATGGATGTCAGGGCTGTCTGCATCCACCCAGAAATCATAATGAGGGTCCCAACCATCAAAATGGATCTGAAAGAAGCACAGTCTCAGTCAGAGAGACACTTAAGGGCATGACTCAGCTTTTATGTTGACTTCCCCCTCTGTCTCACCTTGCTCAGCTTGGGACTGATTCATTCAGCCTTTCATTTCAATCATTCAGTCAGGCACAATCATCCCTGTGCTCAGTGTAACTCTTTGTTTTCCTGCATCTGTGCTTTACAGAACAACCAGGTTCTGGTGACACACTTGTGTCACCCCACAGACCACAGGCTGCTCTACAGGCAGAGCCCAAAGCTATGCAAACAAACTGATTATTTAATTGTTCTGTTCTCTGAGGATCCCAAAACACCAGAAAAGCCAACAAGTTTGGTGAGTTTTGCAGTGGACAAGCTACAATTTCCTGGTAATAGCTCAGATCCAGGCCAGGTTAACAAAGACTGAAGATCACTGGAGTTTAAAGGCTACTGGGTTGGCTGTGCAGGAAAGTTTCAAATGGATGAATTGAATATCAAGCTACCATATATTAACAAAACTTGGCTTTTGCTCACAGCAAATGAGACTGAGAATCAACTGGATAATGGGAAGTGAACTCCACTCCTGCCCACACAACCACCCTTTGGGAAGGAGACCTGTGGCCAAGGAGCTTCCATCAGTGCAGCCTCAACTTTAGCTGGCTCACACTTAATTTCTCAGAAGCCAAAGCACACCAGATTTTTCTGGCAATATATTTATGTGGAAAGAATTACTTAAGACTCCGTTTATGTTACAAATTCCTACTGGAGAATGAAACCACTTCCCTCACGGACCAGGGTTTAAATTGCTTTGAGTTTTCCTTTAAAGCATGGTAGGGAAAAAAACCCTGTCAGGTATTTTCCCCCCAGCTGAACACTAATGCTGCCTTCAGCCCCAGAGAGCACACAGAAAAACGCCGAGAGAGATGGCAAATCACACTGTCAAGTGTCATTTCAGAGCAGTTACATTAAAAACAGCAACTAACAACACCAGGCAATTCCATCAGATTTCAGCAGAACAAAGCAGCAGAAATCATTTCCAGTTGGGCAGGCCCCGAGGCCACATCAGCTGCCAGGCAGTTGTTTGCTGCTCCTCCAACCGAGGGGCGTTTTTTCTGTTCCTCAGCACAGGGCTCTGCACTCGGGAGCAAGGTCACACCTTAATGCGATGGTTGTCTTTGTCGACTATAGTTGCCACTCTTATCAAGATGGGATTTCTCCTGTCCACAGCCTCCAACTTCATATTAACTTGGAATCCGTGAGCGGGGCGCTGGAAGAGAGCATTGTAAGAGGAATGTTAAAAAGCCTGGGAGTTCAGAGCTGGTCACCTGCTTGGAATGCAACGCACTCGGGTTTTCATCCACCCCTCTGGAGCTCTGGGCACTGATCTCACACAGACTGCTCCAGAGGCCAAAATCAGAGCGCCCAAGAGGTTAAAATCAGAGTAACCAAGAGGTTAAAATCAGAGTAACCAAGAGGTTAAAACCAGAGTTCCCAAGAGGTCAAAACCAAAGTTCCCAAGAGGACTGAGGTGTGTGTTTGTCAGCAGTCCCAAATTACTCGAGGCAGCCTGAGCTGTCCCAGCATTTCCCAGCCAGGGTAGGAGGTTCTTCCCTCACAGACCAAAGGCCAGACACCACCACAAGCTCCACTGACACAAGGAACTGTAGCCTGACAGCAACACCCCAAACCCAGCAGAGAGATGATCTTCTCTTAGACAAGAGAAGGCTGAGAGGGAATCCCTGCAAATACTTCCAAGGGGTGCCAGAGGATGGTGCCAGACTCTGTTCAGTGGTGCCCAGCAACAGGAAAAGGAGCAGTGGCCATGAACTAAACCACAAGTTCCACCTCATGAGGAGGAAGAACTTCTTTCCATGGAGGTGGCAGAGCCCTGGAGCAGCTGCCCAGGGAAGGTGTGGAGTCTCCCTCTCTGCAGACATTTCAAACCCACCTGGATGTAAAATTCAAGACCCAATAGTGCCACCTGCTCTAGGTGATCCTGCTTGGACTAAACGACCTCCAGAGGTCCCTTCCAACCTGAACCTCTGGGCAACAGACAGCTTTGCCCAATTTTTCCATTTATCTGACTGCAAATTCCTCCTCTGAGCTCCAGAGCTGGGGTTTATGGAGCTCTGGATGCTCCTTCCAAACACATCCCCCTTCGCTTCTGCACGCAGAGGTCAGGATTTCAGCAAGAAATGATAAACTGGTTGTCTGAACACAATCAGGTAAATGAAAAGGTGATTATAACCACTCTTCCCTGCCAATCTTCCTTGTCCTTTTTACTGCCAGTGGGTGGGGGCAGGGAAGGAGGTCCCCAAACTCCCAAGCTGAAGTTCCTCTTTGGTCATTTCACCTGGACACAGACATGTATCTCCCCACAGGCTCCCAGCCACAGGGCACACTGGAAACCAGACAAATCTGAACTGCTTTTATTTTTAAGATCATGTTATTGAACCAGCCAACCTTGCCTGTCTGCCCTGAGGAAGGAGCCTGAGATTCAAATCCTGCCCAGAAGAGGAGCCAGGCTGTTTGTTTAAGCCTTGCTGAAGGGCTGTTGCCCTTCTGGCAATAATTTATGAGGGGTTTTGAATTGCCAGCCCCCAGAGGATGAGCTGAAATGCAGTGATGCTTACAATGGAACTGTCTCCTGAGGTTTTTGTGAGGGGAGGAGAGGGCAGAAATGCAGCCCCAAGACCTGCTATTTGTGCTGATGATCAGTGTCTCCAGACTAGACAAGACAGCTCTTTAAAACTGTTAACAACTAATTCAGTGAGAAATCCCTGTTCTGGCTCTCAACCCGTATTTTTATGTACTGATTTCCTGTAATTGCTAACTGGCATAATGATAATAATTTTTAAAAAATCAATAACTTCGCCATTTATTTGCACTTCAGCCCAACCAAGCCAGAAAAATAACGAGGTTTGATCTTGAAAAGAGTTCTAATAACTGTTGATATACCAAATACTTTTTTTTTTTTATTGTCTCATTTCTGAAACACAGTTTTGGATGCTAATTTACACTCTGGAGTTTTGTGTTTCTACTCATCTCTAAAAGCCTGACACCTGAAAGAGCAGAACAGTGATGTCCAGGAAACAGGAAAGGAGGCAGACAAGGTAGTGTATCCCCTCTGGGAAACCTTGATCCCAGGGATGTTTTGGAGTTCAGCTGTGCTGCAGGTAATTCCAGCTGTGTTTTTAGAGTTCTCTGAAAAGGCAAAACCGGCCTCTTCAAACCCCTGACATCCACCTTGCAACCTGCAACAACCTCCAGTGGACACCTGCTGAAACCCAGCAATTATCAAACCTGTCTGGCTGGATTTTTGCCTCCCTTATCTGAGGCCTCCCTGATTGCTTTTCCTCCTCAGTCCCAAGCACCTTTCCAACAAAATCACAGGAGGGCAGCAGGTATTAACCTGCAACTCCCAACTGCAGCAGAAGGAACCAAGTGTCACAGCGGCACAGAAAAGGTTTTGAACATATTGCAAAGTTTAGCAAGGTGAGCCAGCAGCGTGGAAGGGGAAAAAAAAAATCAATTTTAAAGTATTTGTAAGTTATTTTAAAGGTGTTTTGTTTTGTTTCTGCTCTCAGTGAGCTTCCAGATAAATGCACTGAACTGCAATGAAAGAAAACAAAAGCTCGTGCTCCCAAGGTTGAGAGAAGCACCTTCAGAGCCTGCAGGATGATGTTACTGCACCCAGGAGCTTGGCAGAAATGCTCTTTCATCTGTTAATACACTTGTTTTCTCCCCAGGAGAAACTAAGATCTATATTAGAACATGTAAGTCCTTGATAGGAACTTCTCTACCTTAATTCCACCCTCACCTGGCAGGGAAATATGGATTTGCCCAACTGCAAGGTGAAAGTATTCTAGAGAGGTTTTTTATCCAGCTGATGAGTGCACACTTGTCATTCCCCTCAAACACATCCACACCCCTCCCTTTTCCTTCCTTCCCCCACCACATATGCCCAGTTTCAGACCAGTGATTCCCACTTCTGACCCTCACATTGGGAGAGTCTGGGAATGGCTGTTCAACCAGCACCAGTCCTGCTCAAGGTGTCAGCTGGGAGATCCCCTCTGCCCCCCTCCAGCAGCTCTTTCTCCACTCTGTGCCCTCTCTGAGGCACTTCCCACGTTCCTCTGGAAGCCACCAGTTTTCTGTGTGGACTGAAGGCTCTTCCCTTAAATCTGCCAGTGGAGCAACTGGAGATATTTAGTCAAAACTCCTTTCCACGACAGCTTTTCATGGCGTTTAAAAAACAAACAAACAAACAACTTGTGTTTTGCTCTGTGTGTGTTTTGTTTGAGCAGCATCATCTTAAAGATCTGGAGATCACCTTAAAGTAAAACCCAGTTTCACCCTCCTGGCACAGGCAAGGTGAGCCACCCTCAAATAAAGCCTGTAGCACCAAAGGGTGGATGACAGCACCTGAGCAAGGACAATCCGAGGGATTCACCCACCAGTTTGAATGCTCTTGCTGGGGCCGCTTGGGAATTAGTTTCTTCCAAGTATTTCTCCCATGAGAAGGCTTTGGAATCCTTGTATCCTGGGAAAAAAACCCCAGAATTAAGTAAGAAAAACCTCACGTTTACTGTTAAAAACAACAGGGCAGCAGCTCTGTAACCCATGGTTAATGATGCTGATTTAGCACTTGCAATGGATGGTGCTGGAAAGTGGCCTCGTTGCCCCTCCCCACCATTCCAGCAGCCACACTGCCAGCTCCCCAGGCCCTACACTGGGCTTTAACCCTGACAAGTTCATTTCTGCACAGCTCAATCAATTCTTATTCTCCTGAGAAAGCTGCCAATTAAAGGCCAGTCAGAGATTTCGGCGCTGTGCGGTGGCATCACTGAATTAATTTCCCATTTTATTAACTATTCTGTGTGTGAGTTGCCTGCAAGACTGGAGAGACTTCTCACCTCCTGCTGCCTGCTCAGTAAAACCAGCAGCCTGGAGAGAAAAGGCTCCCTGGGTGTGCTGCTCTAACAACATTGGGTTGTCTCTCCCTGGCAATTACATTTAAGAAACTACTCTTTTTTTTTTTTTTTTTCTCTTCCCATCTCAGTAATTTTAACACCCAGGATTGGCTGCTTTGGGCAGGAGGGTGCAGGGACCGAATGCAGAGCATTCAGTCTGCAAACTGCTGCATTAAAATCCCTCAGCAGAGATCAGAACTGGCTGCAGGGGCTGCTGGGGGCACAGGAAATCCTGATGTGAGCAGAGAAATGCCTTGCTGCACATTCCAGGAGAGCAGGGACAGATGTTTACAAGCCCTGTAGGAAAAGCACAGAGGCCAATCCCTCCCGTGCAGAGGGATCTTGTAGTGCCTCCTGCTCCACAGATCCACCGCAAATACAGGAATTCTTGCTCCAGGGCTTGTCAGTCTGGCAAATGGCAGGGTTAATTTTATTATGTTTGCTATTTTTAAGGTGAATGAAGCCTGAAAACAGCACTGCTTTCCCTGTACGTTCTGTCCTTTCTCATTTGCCAACATTCCCTTCATCTACCAAATTCCAGCGCAGCAGAAAGAGATGTGGCTTCAGCCACTCCTTCACTTCCAGAAATTCCATCTAGGAAATCACAATACCGCTTCCTTTTTCTTCCAGCTTGAAGGAACTGCTGGAAATCCTTCAAAGTTTTGAGCTCCTGAAATCAAATTCCCCTCTAAGCCACCAACCCCCCTCCCACTCATTGAAAGAACTGCGAACCAACACAAAATCCAGTGGCAAAAGGCACGAACAACAATATTGTTCAGTCAGTAAAGAGTCCTGAGTGGAACGTGGAACTTGCAAACCTGTAAAATTACGTGGAAGACTCAGTTTTTTACAGTTTTTTTCTGGCTGAGGCAGGAGAGAAATCTCACTTTGAACATACCAGGTGGTGTTGTCAGTGGGGTCCCAGTTTCTTGGCAGTAGCCCACAGGACGGATGTACGGGCTGCTCGTTTCACACCTGAACCAGAGAGGGAGAAGTTGGCAGCAGTCACATTTAGAGAGAAAAGCAAAGAAAAGCAGGATTTCGGATGCTGCCTGATTTGCTGGGGGAGCAGATGCTTTCAGTGGGTGTGATCACTGTGTGGAACACGAGTATTACCCCGTTAGGATGGTAAGGCCAAGTTTTCCAGGCATTTGAGCTGCCCCCAAAGACAGGGAAATACAAAGAAAAATCATAAAGTGGAGATCCTGGCTGAAAGGGACCTTAAAGAACATCCAGTTCCAAATCCCTGCCATGGGCAGGGAGACATTTCACTGGACCAGGTTGCTCCAACCTGGCCTTGAACACTTTTAGGGATGGGACAGCCACAGCTTCTCTGGGCCTTAAAAATCTTGAAAAAACACCAAAAAAAAGCTTCCACAAATCACCAGCACAAACTACTCCCATCACAGCCCAGCCTGCACACAGATCATCCAGGCTAAAATGCAAAGGAAGCAAAGAAACAAACCTCAAACATTCATCCCTCACCCAAACACCATCACTGTGCAAGAAAGGGAAGTTATTAAGGTCTTTGCCAGGAGCTGCACATTATCCACTAATCCTTGCTGAATCCCACTGGTAGTTTGCCTGATTCCCAATTTTATTACGTGTTTAGATCTTCTGAGTCCCTGAAGGAGACAAAGGGCCAATTTGTGACAGCCCCTTTTGTCACACCTGCTCAAAGGAAGGGACCAGAGCAGTCTCTCAGATCCAGGGTGAAACCCACGTGTTTTCAGCCAAGCTGTACTTTGAAGCTTTGTTTGCTTCTGTTTCCCATTAAAATTTTCAAATTCCAAACAAAACACGGTGTGGAAACAAAGCTTCCCAGGTTGAAACAAGTAAAGGAACAAGATGTGAAGGCCTGTGAATGGAAACAATAGCGTGGCAAAGCTCTGCAGGTGCAATTCAGGACTTGAAAGCCTAAATGTTGGCAATTCTTTTTCTTTTCAGAGGGTCTCAGCCAAACTCTGCTGAAGGAAATGGAAAAGATTTTTCCTGACTCCAGCACTGTCTGCTTCCCAGCAGAAGCTTGCAGAGAGATAAGCCAACACCCAACTGCTAGAAGTGGAGCACAGGATCTTACTAATTCCAAGTGCTGGTGGAGTTTGCTCTTCCTTTAGCTCTGCCAGAGGAACCTGACCCACTCCCAGCCCAGCAGCTGCATTATAGAATAGAATCATGGAATGGTTTGGCTTGGAAGGGACCTTAAAGCTCATTTCCTTCCACCCCCTGCCATGGGAAGGGACACCTTCCACTAGCCCAGGCTGCTCCAACCTGGCCTTGGACACTTCCAGGGATCCAGGGGCAGCCACAGCTTCTCTGGGCAAAGTGATTATTCACCTGCCTGGAAACTGATTTAAGATCCCAACTTCAGCGGCTACATTTGAAATATTAACTATTACCCTTAGAGGAAGAGCAAAACAAAGCCCAGTGCCCTTGCAGGTGTGAGTGAGAAACAGGATCTGTTTACCAGTAGTCGTAGCTCTCATCCCAGTTATCGAAGTGGATCAGCAGCCGGTTGTCCACCATGTCTGTGATGGTGGCCACACCGACCAGGGAGGGGTTCTTCTTGTCCACTGCCTCCAGCTTCATTCCCAGACGGAACCCAGAGGGAGTGACAGGCTGAGGAACAGGACATCAGGGAAGGGAAATCAGCCACGCTGTTGGTCAAGCCTAATTCCCCTTACAAACTCATCTGTAACCCCAAAACCCAAACACGCCGTGGTTACCAGCAAGAGGTTTGCAAGGTAGGATTTCCCTGAGTTCTGCCAGTGACAGTTTCTATGGCCAAAAAAAAGAGCTTGAGAAACAGCGTTTCCAGGTGAACCCACCACCACAGACTCCCAGGCTGAGACAGAAATGCCTTGCAGTGATGGGTCCTGTCCCACTAGTGGAAAAGTCAGGAGAGTCCTCAAGGAAAAGAAGGCACTCAGTGGGAAGGAGAGCAGAGCTGGGCCCTGATCCTACTGGAGTCACTGCTTGTCCATCTGCAGCGTCCAATCCATCAGCCTTTGTGTCATTGGAGTGACACAGATGGCAGGGAGGGCGACACAGGGACTGAAGGGTAACAACCACAAAAAAAGCACCAGGGGGTGAAGGAATGAAAAATGCCCCCAAGATCTACAGCCCCCATAATGAATCCCATGGCACGCCATGAGCATGCTGCTGGAAACCAGAAATTATTTTGGAAATGATTAAATTAGGGGAAAGTGACACAAATATCCCGACTGCAGGGACACAGCAAAACAGACGGCTGTAATATATTTAATAAATGGTCCAGTAAATCTTTCCCTCCAGCATTAAGGAGGAAGGGAAATACAAATTCTTTCTCTGGGAAGTCAGTGACTGGGGGGAAGGAAGAAAAATTGTACCAGTTTTCCATCTTAAAAATAAATCACAGCAGGAAGCAGTTTGCATCTGATTGCACCACAGTTGTACCTCTGACACGAGCATATTAAACCCACGTAAATATTCTGGTCGAAACTCACTCAGCACCAGACCTATTGAAACACCTTCTGTTCCACATCATCACTTACAGTGCTGAGGGTCTTAAAAAGGCTTTTTGGAGCTGCTTGAGCTTTGCAATTCTTCAGATAGGAAGTCCAATTAAATTCTCCCTCCTTGAAACCTGGGAAGAGAGATAAAAAGATTGTTCTACCTGGCCCCTGGAACATTCCGATGGGTTTTTCAGAAATGGAAATTACCTGGGAAGAATATGAACTTTGCATGATAACTGCCCTGCTAAAACCTTCAGGGGATGTGCATTCCAGCTAAAGCATCCCTCTCTTTTTCACTCTAATGGCCAATCATTAATCTCAACCTTCAGATGTTTCTGGGAAATCGAAATGCAGGGAAGAAGCAAGTCCTGAACCCCAAGGAGACATCCAATACCGAGTTTCTAATTTGACTAACAACGTCAGTCCCTGGGAACATCAAAAAGAAGCTGTTTTGTTCTTCTGTGAGTCACTGTGTTAGCTACACCTCTTCCCTTTAGCCCCTCAGAGCGAGTTCCACCACGAAATCACACTCAAAATGAAGCCAGGACAGCCAGTTCTTAGGAGAATTTATGGTTTCTTGTACAACACTTTAATTTTTTTTTTTTTCATACCTTTAGGAGGGAGCAGCTTATGGCTTGTTTTTTCACACCAGCCCACAGGATGGATGTCTGAGGAATCAGCATTAGCCCAGAAGTCATAACACTCTGGGTACCCATCGAAGTGCAGTCGCATCCTGTAGCCTTGGATCTACAATGAGAGGAGCTCTGATTGTCAGAAAGGGTCATAAAGAACTTAAAGGAAGTCACTAATCAACTGCACTGTTCTTTTCCATATTTCTCCATCACAGGCAATTAATAGGCTTGCTATTTTGAGCTACAGCTGCAGAAATCTGACAGCAGGATTTCAGGCACAGACACTTGACCACATCCCACCATTCCTCTACTGTCACCTTGAACTCCTCACCTTTAATTAATTATTTAATTAATTAACTAAAGTACTATTATTTTTATGTTTCTACTTTTTACTGAAAAAAAAAACAAACAACAAACCCAAATGTACATGAGACTTTTGGAGTCAAAGACAGGAAAAGCAACTACCTCAGCCACTGTGAGAACACAGAATCGAGAGGGGTGTTCAGGATCCAGCCCTTCCAATTTCATTCCAACTTTAAATCCATTCCGACCTTGTGGGAATGACTGATACTGCGAGAGGGGGAAGAAACATTTGCTTTCAATTCCTAGAGACAAAATCTATTGCAGAGCAGTCATCAGATACACTCAAAGCTTCTAATGTTCAGCTCAGAGAAGAAAATTCTATCCCCAAGTGGCTGCTGCTCTACGAGACAGGTGCAGGTTCAGGGATCAATAATGGCATGATCACAGTATTTCAGATTTGTTATTCTAATTAATCTCTCAAAAACACTGAACCATGGGCCTGTTGCAATTAGCTGTGAACAAATCTTTGAGCAGATGCAGAAATGAGCTCTTCTCAAACACAAAAGAATCCCTTTCCCAGCCCAACGCAGAAACAGAGCTGGGAAAGCTAAAATCACTTTGTCAGTCCAGACTCTCCCCAGAGGTAACTTGTCATCTTCAAATGGTGAAAGGGACAACGCAGGTTTGATCTGGAGCCCAGTTACTCCAGAAAACATTTGTGGTTTTCATTTATTTGCAATCTTAATCCAAGTGAAACAAGTGAAGTGTAGTGAAGGTTTAAAATAAACCTGAACTGGGATTGTAAATGGTTTTTTGACTCACTGCAGGACCTTCCTGCTCAGCTCACTCTGGAAGGACCAGGAGCCCTTGGCTTTGAGGAGCTTACAGGGAGTTGAATGTTTAATGTGCAAGAGCAGCTTCCCCAGGGCTGAACTCACCTCTGCCACCCTCCCTGAACGGACACAACTCCCTCCCTCCCCCCTGACAGACACTCACTGAGCGAATCTACAACATTCCCAGAGCTGCCTGACTCGAGTTTCCCACAGGGAAGGTCTGGAAGGGGTGTTGTAGAGCCACAGACATGTGACAGACATCAGGCTGTCCCTCTCCAGCAGCCCTGGGATGTTGCCCAACAGCCCATTTATCCAGAGCAAAGCAGATCCAAACAGTCACTGTTGATTCGGGATTGAGATCCAACCAGCATTCTTAATACTCTGGTTTGGGATGAGACTGCCAGGGCAGATGCCTCATTCCACAGGAACATGTGGGGCTTTCTCTGCCTGTCTGCACCAAAACAACTCAGAAATGTTACTGCTGGCTTGAGGGGGGTCTCCAACCCCACCTCCACCGAGCCAGAAATCCTGCGATGCCGCCCGAGAGAAAAACGGAGCAAGGGAGTGGAAAAAGCTGCCAACCTCTCTGAACAGTTTGGGGGGAGCAGCTGGCATCTGTTCCTCTTCCAAGTAGGAAACCCAGTTCCATACCTTCTTCTTCCCAGGAAGCACTAATTAATCAAAAACAAAGAGAAAAAAAAAAATCAACATTTCTCTCTGACGCTTCCCGCTTTTCTCCTCCTCTCCTCTCTTCTCCTTCTCCTCCCACGAACACTCCAGCTGCTTTGCTGTGGCACCCCAAAGGAGGCAGTGTTACCCAACTTTTGAGGAAAAGCAGGAATTCCAGCAGGAGGAAAACCGTGCTCATTCCTCATTGAATGAAATTTTATTTATGTCCCAGGTCAAATGGATCATGGCACCCGAATTCCCTGGCAAGATGCCCAGAGAGAGGTGCCAGTGGAAAGTCTGGACAAGGCAGAATAACTTAAAAGATGTGGAAATTAATTCCTTCTCCTGATATTTCACAGAGGAATAAGGGGTTAAATATGAACTAAGAGACAGCACAGAGAGGCATATAACTGCAGCTGCAATAAACCTAAAATACAATAAATGAAAAACCAAGTGAATTTTTGTTCAGTTCACAAGATTTTATATATATATATATACACACACATATATTTATAACCTGCTAATAACACAGTGCATCTACTAGAGAGGCAGCTCCCAGGTAATGAAAATAACTTGGACTCATTCTAGAACCACAGTCATACACACAGAAAATTATGTTTTAAATGTATATTAAACATCTCCCCCCAGTTACACACTGACTCATTTAAGGTATGTAACACATTTAACTCATAGTCTAGAATCAATCCCATTGTTTACAACTTATTTTCTCTTTAGCACTGCAGGCTCTGGCTGTGAAGCTCTCCAAAGTCAACGGAAAAAAGATTCTTATTGTCTTCAGTGAGCTCTGGATCAGGCTGATTCCTTCCAGATCCTCACACTGTGCCCATCATGCAGGGAAATCCAGGATATTCCTGCTAATACATCCCAGAAGCTGCCTGTGGTAAGAGGGTTATGTACCTAATAAGCTACTCTGAATGTGAAATGAGCTCTGCTGTCCTTTCCTCTTCTGTTTATTGTTATTATTATTCACTTTATAATAGCTACTAAAAAAGAAAAAAAAAAATCTATAAACAGTAAAGAAAAGAGACTCTGAGCTTAGCTCACCTTGTTTTATTGGTTTAGTGTTTCTGCGGCTTTTCATATTATTTGATTTATTCTTCTCCTAGACACAGATACGTTAAAAAGAAGTTTAGCAAGGTTGGTTTTCCCTCCCTCTGATCATCTCACAATGCAGGTACAATAAGGATGGCACAGGTAACTACTAGCAGGACTATTAGCCAGCATTATGTCTCTTGAATAACCCTGCAAGAACAGCAGTAGGGAACGTTACACAGATAACTTTGATCCTGCAGCATCCCAAAGCGCTTTACAAGTTATTTAATACATGCTCCTGGAGTTCATTGAGATGTGGCTGCAGAAGAGCAGCCCAGGCCCGAAATCTCCATTACAATACAGAGGATTTGCTTTCTGCAGTGCAGGATTTGCTCCTCACGTCAGCAGCCTTATTCTAACTCCACTTTTCTTTCCCTTTCAAACGTCCCTCCATGCCAGGGAATGGATACAAGGGGGAAAAAAGAAGTCATTGCTGAAGGCCTGAAGGAAGCAGAAGCTTCAAGGAACTCCTTTTGTGGATGAATTCCCGCCCCCAGACAAGGTGGTCTCCCTGTGTCACACTCCAAGCCCAACTGCCATTCACATTTCTTTGGTGTGGTTTCCAAACTCAGGTTTGATTCCTCCCAGGTTGTCATTTCTCAAAGCAAACCAAAACAAAAAAAAAGACCAAATGTGCAATGCAAAGGTGCCACCAGACACGCCCCAGAAGGGACAGGGGGGCAGCTCCTAAGGAGGAGGAGGAGAAGGGGGAAGAGAGAGACTTCAAGGACGTCTGAAAACATCCATCCCCTAAACCATCTCACCCACATCCCAGGGAAAAGCTGAGCAAGGAGATGAGTTAAACTGCTCATGACATGAGAGGCTGCAGCTTGAGTACCCACCAACACCCCCCCAAATGGCTCAGCTGTACAGAGCCATGTGTGATATGTGAATATAAATAAAATGGCTCAGAGAGATGCTGCACAGGCAGGGGCAGAGCAACAGGGTTGCACAAAGGGTCCTGAACTTCAGGAAAGTTAAGGAAAGATCAGCTCAGGACTGAGGAATTTCTATTTATCCACCACTAATACAGGTTTCTGGTAGTGCAGTGAGTGTACATGCAGGTAACCCAACCAAACCCTGTGGTTTGGCACTACTATTCCATATCACAAAATAGTACTTGACTGAGAGAAGGCATTTTGGAGGTGTGTGGTTTTATTACTGTCACATGCACCTGGTGTGCAGGGCTGTAACTACACCTGGAAAGTTACAGTCTGAAACCCTGACCTTCACTTCACATGAGCTATTCACTCAGCCCTGTAATTCCTCAGAACAGCCCCAGACCCTTCCCTGGGTCCAGAACAACCTCCCTCAGCTCAGTCTGCTCTGCACAAGGAACTCAAACAACTGCCCCTGCTTTGCACAGCTCTCTTCAAAGCAAGGACATGCAGCCTGGTTTACCTCATCCTCATATGCATTTTCCTCCTCATCCTCCGAATCCAGAGGGAGTCTCCTCTTCCTCCGGAGCCGTCTGACAGGTCTGCCAGCCTCGGTCACCTGACAGGCACTGCTGGTGGGAACATTTCTATTATTTCCCCTGTTTCTGCAATCATCTGCAATGTCTCTGACAGCATTAAACATCCAAAATGGAAAACAAAAGCAAATGGGAAGTGCAACGCCACCCCTGCAGTGTTCCCAGTGTCTCTGGGGAGGCTGAGAGCCTGGGTGTCTGCAGGATTTGCTGGATACAGAACTGTAACACTTGCTCTAAGGAGTTCATTCTACTCACAAGGACACTCTTCTCTGTCACAATGTTCCCTTTAGACGTTTTTAAGCAAAACCCAGGAAAAAATCTGGGGTTTCTTTACCTGTCCCTGTGCTGCTGGGAGCCCGTTTGAGTGCAAAACTTCCCATTCTCAAAGCAATCCATTTGCTCACAGGTTTGGGATTCTGAGTAGGACACGTCTGGTCTGGGCACTGTGGAAGCAAAAAACAGGACAACTATTAAATTAAAATGTTAACCCACCTTTCAGGTAATGAGTTCTGTCAAAGTCCTTCACAAACTTTCACTGAGTGACCCTCAGAATCCCATGGAGGGGGAACTAATCATTATCTGTGTGCTGGCCCACCACCTCAGTAGGGAAAAACCCCTTTTATCTGTAATGTTTTCATTTTGAAGAAACCCTGCCCCCTGTAAAAGTGACAAAGGAAGATACAATCTTAAAGCTATAACCAGGACACAGTTACAAATCTCATCACAGTCTTTTATTCTTAGTAACCCTTTAACTGGAAAGCCAAATGTCAAACAAGTCCATCTTGTTTCGATGCTTCTGATACACAGTTGGTTAAGTTTAAAAGCTTCTGCCTTTATATATATTTTGTACATATGAAAATCCTTCATAGGCAGCCCCTAAAACCAGCACATTATTGATGGGAGAACAGAAACAATCATTTCTATACCTAGCAAGGGATATACATGGATTTTTCATTTGAATGAGAGCATGACAATGTAAGGAATAACTCCAATACATCACATATATTTACTTTCTCCTGAGTTCTTCCTAATGCAAATTAATTTATACTTGATATTTTAACAAAACACCAGGCATCTGCACTGTCCTGATGGGTAATTTGCTCCAGTAATCTGACATTCAAATCATGCATGGGGGCTTCTGTGTGTACATTTTCCCTGCTCTGCATTAGTGGCACCACTCGTGTGCACTGGTTTGATCAATCCAGTTTTTAATGCACCATTAAACACTTGAAAAGAAGAAAAAAAGAAAAAAACAAAAAAACACAAAGCACCACACACAACCCAGATATGAGATATGAGATATGAGTCACTTGTTTTTTATTTAAAGCCCTTCTCAGCCTCCTGACCAGCACTTGGATTAATCCTGATAAAGCCAGGTGATGTTTTTCATTGATATTTGATTGCTCTCCATGGTCCAATATGGATGTTGGATGGTCCTGGCTGGAATTGGGCACTCCCTGCCTATGGACAGTCCACACATGCCTCTATCTCAACCTAAAGCCTCTCCATGCCCTCATGGAGCAATGATTCCAGGCAGGGAAAAGACAAACCAGGGAAGACTTGCAAGAACCAAGAGCTCTGCTCAGTCAGGACTCTCACTGACTGAAAGGCTGTGGAAAATTCCTCATGCTGAGGTGTCTGTGATAGAGCCAGTTCCTCTCCTGATGACTGACTTGATGATCTTAAAAGTCTTTTCCAGGCTTAATGATTCCATGATTCTATCTGCTGCTGAAACAGTGAGTGATTTAATGAAGGGAAACAGGGATTTACAAGGTAAGTGAGGCTGAACAGCTTCACTGAGTGATCTGTGATAAAAGGTTTTTTGTGGTAACAGAAATATCCTGGTTTGGGCTACTGGTTTTTAGATGAACAGAGTAACAGCAGCTCTGCAAAGAACTGAGGTAATTCTTGTCCACTCCATCAATGTGCAAGTCCAGTAAGATGTTTGTACTCCCTGTTGGGACTCAAGTTTTCCCCTGATTTCAGTTACAGGAGCCTTGGAACCATCCCTCACTGGGGAATGCACTCAACCAGGACAGGAACGAGCTCCTGCCTCTCCCCAGAGCTGTCAGCCAGGGCACACCTTCCCAGAACCCACACTCAGGAGATCCCAGGACGTCAGTTCAACCTCAGCAGGAGGATAATCATTTTATAATCACACTCCCCTTCCACACTGCCTGTGCCAGGTATTGTTATGACTACACAGTAATTCCATCCCCTCTAAACGCTCCCAGAATATTCCAAATAAGCCAGTGAGTCATTCCACACGCTGCAACCAGGGAGCACCAGGCTGCTGAAACACACAGCTCACTTCAACCTGCTTCCTGAAGCTTTCTCAGAAACTCCATAAACTCTTCCACAGTAAAATGCTCACGTTCCAAAGCAGGGGTAGAGGCAGTGGAAGTGCTGGAAGCAGCAGGAAGAGCAGTGGTTGGGCTGACATACACTCCTGTGGCTGCAAGAGCTTTTATGGCTCCTGCTTTGGGAATGATTTCTAGCAGCCCAAACTCATTTCAACAAAACTGCGGGTAAAAAGAAAGCAAGCAGTAAAAAACTAGGAAGGGGGATGGGAAGGGAGAGGATTCCCTGTGGAGCAACTAGGTATGGCACAAAAACAAACGGCTGAATGTACATTAAAAAGCACTAAACCCAAGGAACAATAAAAGTGAGAAACACCCTACACAACTCTTCTTCAAAATACCATCAACAGCTACCCCTCCCTCAAACCTCACTGCTGCATTTGGCTGTCAATTAAGTAACATTTACTTTAGAGCTGGACTCAATGATCCCTGTGGGTCCTTTCCAACTCACAGTATCCTGTGATTCTGTGATTAATTGTACCTGCTTTGGATGTGCTTCCCTTGGGAACACAGAGCTCCTGAAGAGCACGCAGGATAAACACCCACAGCTCTGCTGAGGTTCAAATTCGTCCAACAAACACAATTATATTTATTGCAGTTACCATGTGCAGCAACTTCCCTAAAATTGACAGCAGGACCCCCCCCCCAGCTGTCGACAGAAGGGTCACATTCCACAGGAATTCGTCCCCTGTGACCCTCAGCTGGAGCTGGATGGGCTTTAAAGCCCCCAGAGCACAGTGACAGCTGTGCTGCATCCACACTGCAAAACATCTGGAGCTGCCAGGGGCCAAGTGGCTCTCAACCCATCTTCAATGACACTTGTTCTGGTGGGAAATTAATTTCCCAGAGGAGCAGAGGAATGTGGGACAGGCAGAGGGAATACTGCTGGAGAACGGTGACACTGAGGAATAACCTGCCCTTCTTTGTGTGACACCCATCCCCTGCACACACACACACACACACACACAGAGGAAATCCAGACACAGAACAAGAAAACCTCTCCAGACACACACAGGGCAGCAATGGAAAAGGAATGATACGGGGCAGACTTCAGAGAGCCACCCTTTGAGCTTAAAAAAACTCCCCAGGCTACGCAGGAACACTTCACTGGTGCAGATAAAATCATTAAAGTGTGTTAAATAGTGTCAATATGCAACTTTTATTAGTCCTGACCTGCAAATGCAACCGAGCACGGAAAAAAAATATAAACTTTAAATTAAAAAAACCACCTTTCTGATGAGCAAATAGCTGCAAGGATTACTCACTCCTTGATCTTCTTCCCTGTCTGCAATACGGAGCTACTGAACTCCGGAATGAAAGAGGCAAGTCAAAGGTGGCTGCATTTGCAAGCTCTGCTCCAAAGCATTTATTCCAAGCACTTCATTAGTCTGAGATCTTTCCTCAGCCATCCGTGCTTTGCTCAAACCTGCTGAACTCAGTTTAAAAGCATCTGCTTCACCTCTGAGGAAGAGCTCCTCGATGAGTTGAGAAGCACCATCCTCCTCCTACTCCTGCCCGCTTCCTGGGCTTGGGATCTTGCCTCCAGCACCCTATCAAAGCCTTATCCCAAATGTTCTTCCTCCTCTTTCCTCCTTTTTATCTAAAGCCTGTATTTCTCAAAGCTTCAAAGACGCTGGACTTGCTTCTAAGAGGCTCCCTCACTTCCTGCTCTGCAGCCCTGAAGAGACAGAGCATCAGTTTCATTTCAGCACAAGGAGGAACAATCTGTCTTGAAGGAACAAGAATTCCAAGGGGACTCAGCTTCCTGCAGGATTCACTGCTCTCCTGGGGATGGAGGATCTGCATCCCAGGCAGATCCCAGGGGTTCCTCTCTGTGGATGGTGGGGACAGCTCAGTACCATGGGCAGAAGGTCGGTGGAAGGAGCAGGTCCAGAGCTCCACGTGATGTTCTGGAGCAGAGCTTGCCCAGGAGCAAACATCACTGTGAAGGAGCAGGTTCATTTTTGGGATAGTGACACTCTTGCACGTGAATTAACAGTTCTGATTCTGCCCAAACCAGCAGAGACAAAGGCTGGTGCCTCCTCCTGCAATAACCTGATGATGTAACCCCAGCCAGGTGAGCTGGGCAAGTCCAGCTCCCCCAAACCGTATCAATTAATATCAAAAAAACAACCTGAATCTTTATTGACAGTTTCTGATCTGAGGCCTGGCAGATCATGGAGCCAACCTACAGCTTCATCCTGAGGCTCTTCAAGGCAATATCCCTCATTCCTAAATTCTGGAATTGCACAGTGTTACAATCAGGACTGCATTTTCCTTTACACAAGAGAGCGGGTTTGATAATATAAAATCCACACAATTCCCCAGAAATAATCTGCCCTTCCTGAGATATTTCTGAAATGAATTAAGGAAAAAGATATCTCATCGTGCATGCAAGAACTGGAATAGAGCAGGAAGAGAAGGGGGAAAAAATAGGATTAAATAGCAAAAACAACAACAACAAAGAAGTGTTTGGCATCTTGAAGTGGCTCCCTGGGCAGCCAGTTACCATGTCCCAGCTGGACATTCCTACCAGACCCATCAACAGAGGCAATCAGGGCTCTTATACTTGGTCATTTAATATAAAACAACACAACATTGCTTGGTGCCTTTCAGTCTAATAAATAATGTGGTGCTTTGCTGCTTCTCTGCTATGATGAGGAATCAATAAAAGCAAAGGAACGTTACTGCTGGTTAAGAGGCAAAACACTTCAGATGTTTAAGGAGCAGGAGGGTAATGATTTGGGGCTAAATACAGGGCAAAAGTTAGCAAAATAATAATCCAAAGGAGTCAGTGGATCCAATTCCATGGAGGAGGAAAAGAAGGAAGAGGAAGATTATCAGCACCTGCAGAAAGTGGGGATCTGGTTCTGAATGCCTGATGTGGTACCAACAATCTGATTTTTCAGAGCTCTCAAGCCCCTTCAAGTCCAATTTATTTCACTTCAAATTGATCTTTTCCACCCCAAGACTTGCAGCTTTGAGGGCAATTCCGTGTCTTCATTTCCAGCCATCAGAAGCACAATGGAAGGGACCAGCTGAAAGTCATTTGGGAATCAATCACTCCACACGCATTCC